TGGCCTGCTGTGTTCATCCAGCCCTGCACCTTGTTGTCTCGGATTCTTCAGCATCTGCAGTTCCTACTATCTTTGTTTGGGAAGTATGGTCTATTGCACACAACAAAAAGTTGTCCTGCATTTCAAGGTCTTTGCAAGTCATGTGGTGTAAAAGAACACTGCGTTCACCTTTGTAAGTAACCTGGTTCCAGAGACACAAACAGAGGCTTCAATAAGATGCAACCAAACAAAAACCATGTGCTGCATAGTGGTCCCAACAACAGGGAGTATATGAGAGATGTGTGTGAACACAAGTACATACTTGAGGTTCACAGAAAGACTGATTGGGATGAAGATTTCAATAAGAAGGTGACTAGGCTTTACACATTGTGAATGTGACATGTAGGGTGGAATTTAGTTTAACTGTAGAGACAGGCGGAAAAGTGAGAGAGGCTTCGGCTTGGGACTGGGTGTGTTATCCCATGCAATATGTTTTTCTCAGCTCATTGCATTTTCATGGATGGGTAAAATACTGAATTTTAATGGCAGATGAGCAGGATCTTCTTGGTTCAACTTTTAGGTACTGTATTTAAAAGCCACCCAGACTGCACTTCACTCTCTGCAACCCAAGACCATCAATCTCTGCTCACCACACTGACCAATTGCTGGAGATGTCTGAAACCAAGCAAAATGTGTTACGGTGCTTTGGTGATGCCTCCCTAGAGGTTCTCCAGGAGAGAAAGGAAATTCTTTTCTTTATGAATGCGAACAAGAAGGCCATCCCTCCTGACAAAGGCAGCTTGGGCAGAGGTGGCTGCAGAGGTAAGCATCCATGGGCACTCTAGAGAACCTGGCTCCAGAGCTATGAAAGGATGGATAATTCACTGCACCCCAGCAAGTTAGGTTCCACTATGTACTCCATGTTTCATGCTTGTAGCAGTTTGGGGCACCACGGTGGCTCAGTGGTTAGTTGCGTCACAGTGCCAGGGACCCAAATTCAATGCCACCTTCAGGTGACTGTCTGTGTGGAGTTTGCATGTTATCCCCATGTCTGCGTGGGACTCCTCCAGGCGCTTCAATTTCCTCCCACTGTCCAAAGATGTGCCGGTTAGATGGATTGGCCATGCTGAATTGCCCAAAATGTCCATGGTGGATTAGCCATGGGAAATGCAGGGTTACAGAAATAGTAAGGGGTGGGTCTGGGTGGGATGCTCTTCAGAAGGTCAGTGTGGCCTCAATGGGCCAAATGGCCTCCTTCCACACTATAGGAATTCTATCATTCTAGGATTCTATCATTCTACGAGTGTGAGCTAGCATTGTAAAGTTGCCACTGCAGACAATATTCACACACAAAAATGGGTGCCAGGCATCTTCATCAGATGCTTCATGTGAAATCAATGTCTGTCACTTCATTGCAGCTGTCAGTGCAGCACAGCTGAGGCCACACCACTTCTCACACATATGCCAGGGTTCATGCTTAAAACATAAATGGAACTGTAACACTCAGCAGCACACACACTAACAAGTCACTTACTTTTCACTACAACAATGAGAATGTATTCATGTGATAGCTTTTCACCAAAGTTTCCATAGGAGAAGGACACAACAACAAGATATGGCCTTTTAAGTTGTGCTCCTTCTTGAGTTAAGATCTGCTTGCCAGTCCTAGTCACATTTGCTGGCATCAGGCAATGTGCTATCTCACTTGGAAATGTTTGTTGGTTCAGAAAGGCTCCATCCCCAACACTAAAAGTTTTTAATTACAACAAAAAAGACTACATATGACCAAGACTTCTGACGAGCTGAACTACATCAAGAAGCTTAGAAAACATTTTTATTTCATGTGCTTCATTCATAAAAATATCTTTTTATGCATACATAGTCCCCAAAGCAGTTCTGTTCTGTACAGTAGCATAGAATAAACAGACAAACATTGGAGTTTGGCTCAATCCAACAAACAAACCAAAGGCATTTCTTACTTGTACAGACTATATTTACATATATTTGAGGCACCGAGGCAGAGAGGGTGGTCCAATGTCCTAACAGACTCCCATTTAATTGTGGCTGTAAGACCTTAGACAGTGGTCTTTCCCCACTGCACCTTGGCAGCTGCTGTCCCAAGCTGTACTGCATCCCTGAGCACGTAGTCCTGGACATTGGAATGTGCCAGTCTGCAATACTTGGTTGAGGTCAACTCATTGTCCTGGAAGACCAACAAATTTCGGGCAGAACAAAGCGAGTCTTTCACTGAGTTGATAGTCCTCCAGGTGCAGTCAATGTTTGCCTCAGCACGCATCCCAGGTTAACAAACTGTAGACCACAGATAAGGGAGCTGCTCGGGACAAACCTCGACAAATGCCACTGTATCATTCTC